CCTCAAACATATTTATCTTCTATCTGTTCTATCTCGATTCGTTTTCGTTGAAAGTTTGTTTTCTAGCCTTTTTTCATCGGATTCTTCTGTTTGCTATATGCTGATTTCGATCTTAAAAGGAAACTTTGAATCATCGATTCAAAAGAAATCTGACTCAATTCTCACATATTGGCTACAAAATCGATTGATTTCTAATGCAGAAAGTGAATTTGACCTTGAGAATGTGACATCGCTAATGATCTCATGTGATTTGTGACATGCTTCGTTTTTTATGTTAAATTCTTATTAGAGGAAAAATCCATCGGTGATGTGCACATAATTGATATCTAATTTACAGTATTATTGAACAAGCCAAGGTTTTAGTTACTTGTTTTTTATTTTAGTTTAGTAGATATATAATACTAATAGATTAATGTTGTGTTTTGTGGTGCTAATAATATAAACTTATAATGCAGTAACTAGGTCAAGAGTCCATATCTAAAGAGATACGAGAAACCAACAAGAGTGTGTTTCCCCAACCTTGGCTCATTCCCAAAATTAAAATTCAGTAAACTCGATTTCACAAAGACGAATTGTTCCTCATTTAGGTATATTTTATGTGTTATCTGAATATTGAATCTTGTATTTTTCTTTAATTTTTTTTTTTTGGTCGAATATTTTTCTTTAATTATAACATGATGATCTTTTACACTAAAAAGTAATAATCTCCGAAATCTGTGGATTTTGCAGCATCATCATCATTTTTTTATCATGTTCTTGACACCATTGGCTTCCGTTTCGAGAAGAAGAAAGCCTGTGACGACTGTGAAAGCATATAAACACGAGAACGTTTCAAGATCCACATGGTCTAAAACCAAAGAGAGACCAGAATGGTTTTGGACGATCTTGTCTTGTGTACCTTATTTAATGTCCTTCAAAATGTCTGAAATTGGTTTCTACATGAAACCTTTTCTTGAACAACACGGCGGCGCAATTGGAGAAACTATCATAAAGTTGATCCCAGGACCAGCAAACAAATTGCAACGCAACTTCTTCATGGTGTGTATTGCTTAGTAGGCTTCAATTTGACGGTGAAGAACAGAAACTTGCCTTATTACTTTAGGTTTCATATGAATATGGGAATGCTACTAGAGATAACAATGCAAATCATATGGCTTACAAGCGAAATTTTCCCATTGATTAACTTTAATGGAAGATTAGCTATGTATTATCATATGGTGATAGGGTTTATTTACATATGTTTGTTTCTTGAGTGCTTAAGGTGCGCAATGGTTGGAGCCTATCCTCAGATTCCTATCATCAGTGATGCTGCCCACATTCGTTGCCAAAGGCTCTGAGATTTTTGAAGTCTATAATTAACCAAACCACTACTACTTGTTAA